ATCTTTCCATGCCGCCTTTCATTTATAACCCACTCTTTGCATATAACGCTTCCCGGACAACACTTTTATCATCCGGTAGGAGTCCGGTCCTTGGGGTGAAAATTGGGTTTCCCCAAGCGCAGCCCCATTGCGACAACTGTGAGCTGGGTCCTTCTAAACTAAAATTTACCCCTTTGTTGGTCTCTATATGGCATACCCCCATTCAACCCGGAGGAGGTTGCTTTCTCGCATCCCACCGGTAGACATCACCCTTTTAATGTAAAAAGTGGGGGAACACAAAAATCCCTTTTTTTTTTCAGAAAGGGGGGTCCCCTCCCCTACACAGCTATACCAAGCAAAGAATTACTGCATCCGGTGGAATCCCCCGGGCCCAAAGGGAACGTGGGGGGGATATATCGTTGGTATCCACTTTTTGGGGTGGCATCGTTCTTCGGCCCAGTTATCTTTTTCTCAGGGGGCCCAGAAATGCTCAGGTGGCCCTCTGTAAATGTTGAAGAGTTCCCTGGGCCCTTTCAAAAAAGGAAAAGGCTTGCCCAGGAAATTTTTTTACTCCACGGGGGTGGGGGGGGGGGGGGGGTGAGGAGATTAGTATTTGTTGTTATAGTCCTTTCCTCTATTTTTAGTGTCTACTAGTGATGCCTTTCTTTTCTGTCTATGATATAATACCTTTCCTATTTTTGGTGAGAATGTATGGTTGGTTCCATACTAGTGGGGCTGTAGGATTGAAGTCCGGATAGACTCATTATGGCAATCCACGGCAGTACATCTGAAAAGTACTCTCCACGGCGCCTGTAGCGAGCCGGTACCATTACCTAAACCAGAGACTTGAAGCTATTACATGTAAAGTCAAGGTCCTAGCTTGGTAGATATGATAGCCTAAAAATAACATATCAGAGGAGTAAAAAATGTCATGGAATTGCAGGGCATTGGACAGAACCGTAACGCTTTTCTCTTTTGTTAGCGCTTTGTATCAGATCTTTGTGCCGTGGCTCAAACTACATACGATACCACCATTAAGCTCTGGTCTTGTGCATATATCGATTGACCAGAGTTTTTCTCTTTATTTCACCTCGTGCGAGAACTTGCTTGGAGTTCAGAGTGTATTTGATATACTACTGTTTAAGCTATTCGCTATCCGAAATTGTAATTAATTTTGAGATAGCAAATAGCTTAAATTACGGTATGCCAAAGGCACCGTTAATAGTTCCTATATACACTATCTAAAGTGGAGCGGTTGTCATAATATGCTCTTAGTAAGTATGATAACAGGTTGCTTTTCCAACATATTCATGTTGCAGCCTCCTTTACTTTATATAATTTATACCATTGGTCTCTGCACTACTTTACCCCATGGCTGTCATGATATCGAGTGATATCATGATTTTGTCATTTTCCTCTGGTCTGTTGGGCCCAAAGAAAATTAGGTATTTTTTCTCTTTGTTTTCGATTTTCTCCTACTGTGCTATCATATGTCTGCAATTGACAATATACCTGTTTCTACGATACTACAGTAACCACCGAGTAGACAAAACACTTGTCTCAAAATCTCACTTAGACTACGGTAACACAATGACTTTCCTTTCCTTTCCTTTTTTTTTTTTTGCATTTCCCCGAGCGCATTTCAATTTTAACCAAGACACCCCAATTCTAGCTATTATAATTTTTTCTTTCTTAGTATGATAAATTATGATACAAGTGTTGGCAACCAGGGCTATCTAAAGGGCATCCCTACCCGATAGCGCTGTTCGGATATCTTGTAGCCTAGCTCCCGGGGTTGCCCTAATCCATGCTCACCCCGCGTTTCCCCTCCCGATTGAAGAGAGTGGGACCGTATGATATGAGGGCGAAGGTCTGCTAGATGATTACTCGAACGATACTTCGCACAAGCTGTGGAATTGGCGGTTACGCGTGCAGGCATAGGAATATATCGATGAAGCAGGCTACATCCAACCGTCCTTCGGGGGCCATTACCAGCGCATGGGATCGCTCACCAGCGGAGTTTGACTTCAGGAGTATTCTCCTCTCTTTCTTTCCCCATTTTCACCTTGAATGCTTCCCAAAGTCTAACAAGATGACCCACCAGGCGACACCCTCACAACACCCTCCAGGCCCATGCTAGCAGCCCTTGAATCCATAAACCTAGGAGACGATGTCTATGGCGAATGCACAACCACCCAGTCCCTCCAATCCCGTATCGCATCCCTCCTAGGCAAGCCCTCGGCACTTTTCGTTCTCTCGGGGACAATGGGGAACCAACTTGCCCTACGCGCACTGCTCGCCCAACCCCCTCATAGCATACTCCTGGACTCCCACTCACACATCCAGCTCTTCGAAGCCGGTGGCGTCGCAGGTCTTTCGCAGGCAGTCACCGTGCCCGTGGCCCCGTCGAACGGGAAATATCTTACATTGGAGGATGTGCAGAAGCACGTGATTTTGAGCAGCGATATACATTTCGCCCCGACGCGCGTGATCTCACTAGAGAACACCATCAACGGCGTGGTCATGCCGGTGGAGGAAGTTCGCAGGATCGGGGAGTGGGCAAGAGGAGAGGGGGTAAAGGTGCACCTCGACGGAGCGAGGTTGTGGAACGCATGCTCACTCTCGGAACCGTCGGTGGAGTTGTTGGGGGAGTACTCGAAGCACGTGGATTCCGTGTCCGTCTGCTTTTCCAAGTCCCTCGGCGCACCGGTCGGGAGTTGCATCGCTGGTGACGAGCGCACGATCGCGAACGTGAGACATATGCGTAAGGCTATTGGTGGGGGGATTCGACAAGCTGGGGTACTCACTGCCATGGCACGGGTTGGGGTGGAGGAGGTGTTCTTTGGGGGGAAGCTGTGCCAGGCGAACGCGTTCGCAAAGGCTTTGGCGGAGAAGTGGATGGCGTTGGGAGGTGGGTTTAGACTGCCGGTAGATACGAACATCCTTTGGTTGGATTTGGAGGGGCGGGGGGTTGACGATGGGATTTGGGAGGAGGCCATAGAGGAGAGCGGAGTGAGGATTTCTGGAAATAGGATTGTTTGTCATTATCGTGAGTACTCTCGTGTGAATCACGGGAAAGCGGGAAGGGAGAGGCTGATTGAGGTTGATTGCAGAAAACTCGTCGGCGGCGGTGGAGAAGGCTAAGAAGGTCATGGAAATTGCGTGCAAAGTTGCTGATGAGAGGAGAGCGAGTAGGCTCAAAAGCGGAGACGCAAAAGAGGAGAAGAAGGTCGGAGAGAGGATTTACGGCCAGCACAACTAGCACGCTTTGTGGTGTGATATTGCAATAGACTTTTAGATGTCTTTCCTATCTGGGAAGATTCCATTGATAGTTCTCGTGATCTGAGAGCTGGTGAACCATCAGTTTCTAAGAATTTAAAATAACTGATCACTAAGGTGCCACCTCTCGTGCCCATATTATGCAACAACGGGGGCTCGTGCTTGAGAGTGACAAAAGGTGACGAGTGAAAGCGGTACTGTACTGTGCATCCACCGGCCCATCCGATAGACCTGGTATCAGGGATCTTGTAAGCGAGTGATGTGTTATGATCACACGTCGATCGATCATGCCGGACACAACACAATATTCGTCACCATCATAGTTTCTGGTTCGTTGGAGATCAATATACCCCGATGCCCACCCACCTCCCCCTTCGTCATCACCACCGGCTTTGCCGTGACTATCCTATCCCTTCTTTGTCATTCCCCCACAACCCCCTCCCCCCACTTGACATGACTTTCCCCTCATGTCCTTGAAAAACTACAATTGTGTGAACTAATCACTCAAACAAGGTAATGCAATGGTTAGAAGGCGGATGAGAACGAAATGGGGCAATCACGGATCCTAATCAGCAATATTGAATAACATCGTGGTAAAAAGAAGCAATGAGCAGATGGGAATCGCACAGGTAATTCAGTGTTAAGGCATATGATACATGATAATATTTATATTATTGTTAATTCAGTTATGCAAAGCAAACTCCATGCTGTCGATCCTAATTCTGTGTTCTTTTTTGTGCGCGATTATTCTAGTCGTGTGAGGACCCTTCGAGACCAGGACGGACTCATGATGAACCGCGCGGACATTCGCGGTCTTGCGCGCCAATTACCCTTCATGAATTCGTTGACATTGCTGGTGGCGAATGTTATATTTATACAGGCTGTGGTGGGAAAAAAAGGACACAAGAGACAATAAAATTCCGGAACTGTACTTGTCGCCGGCAATTAATTTTTCCTTCTTTCGTCCACTATTTCCCGCTGAGCGATATTTCCCTTTCAACTTTGCCATATCTACAGTACAGGGGGTGGAAAAAAGTAATGCGACACTCATACAACACAAATCGCCATACATCAACATTCTCGACAATGTATAGTACTATGTCATTCCACAACAACATTTAATAAATAAAATAAGTAAAGGAGATAAAATAAAATAGTCCTCATTATTCTCTTGAAGTAAAATAAAAAGAAAATCCTAAATCAATAATGAGTTTCGTGCTCTTTTCTTCTGATAACCTCTCTGATCCTTTTTGGCATACTCCTGCAAAGATCCATAAACCTTCCATTAGGAATAGCTTCCCAAGCTTCCTCCACAGCTCTGATCAGCTCTTCTCTACTTGCAACTCTTCTGTACCTTTTCCCCAAGTAAGTCTCCATATCTTCCCAGATATTCTCAATCAAGTTCGGATTTGGAGACTGTGGTGGTCAAGGCAATATATCTACCTCATTTTTCTTTCTATACTTTATAGAAAATCTGTAATTAAATTAGTAGTTATATTATATTCTTAAGTAAGTAGTTCTATAATAATAAGACAGAAAATAAAATAATTATAAGATATATGAAGAAAGATAGAACTTACTTTTGATGCTCTGGTACACTATCTTCAACAACCTTTGTCCAACAAATCTCTCACAACACTCATGCCAGAAAGAAATTAAAACTGGATCCAGTATATACTTAGTATACTCACAAGAATCTACTTTAACCTTTCCTGGCACTACTACCAACTTTGACCTCAAATTTCTACAAAAGGCTCCCCATATTATAACAGTATCTCTTCCTAACTTCCAAACCTCATACAGACAATCCTGATCATACTCCTCAGAAGGCTCTCTTATCACCCATCCTCTCTGTCCAAATCCAGCTGTAGAGAAAGAAGTTTTATCTGGATATATGATTCTAGACCACTCTCTCAATTTCCAAGCTCTTTTTCTCATATATCAACCAAATCTAATTAGTATATTTTTAGGGCACAAACCCTATCTAAAATATATTTTAGCTTTGTAAAAACATAAATTTTTATTAGAAAACTTATTTCTTGTGAGATTTTCTTTTATTTGAATTAATACTCTTAGCTGCCTTCCTGATTGTCCAAGATGAGGACGGCAATCTCTTTACTTCTTAAATATCTTCCCTAAATAGTCTTCTATTTTTTTTATTTTCTTTAATAAAAGACTTCAGATTATCTAGATTAGACTCTTAGAAGATTGAAAATCCTCCTGTGTGCTGGTAGTTGGAAGGACTACTTGTTTCCTGATTGCGGTGATAGATATAAGTACAAGTACTATGGTGTACTTTGAGGCCAGCTTTTTCCTCCAATTTAGCAGCTATCTTTCTGAAGGACCATTCTGCTATTTCTTGTAGGGCAATAATTGGGACCCAGTCATCTCGGATAGTATTTCACTCGAAGCATTGCTTCTTCTTCATCAATGATCACCATTGCTCAATGTTTTCTTGATTGATCGTTATTTTATCTTATTATTATCTCAACTACCTATGTACATTTATTTAATTAAACTGCTTACGTTCACTGTGGCAGGTTCCTTTTACCCACATATTGATTCTTGAGGAAGGTTTGGAGGGCTGTAAAGGATAGAGGTGATATTACAATAGGGAGTTGGAAGCAGAGATGCGATCATGGGAGAAGCTATTATAATAGTATTGTACTACTTCCTTCCATCCCCTTGTACTGCTTGCTGTGACTGTGGTACTATTCTTCTATGTTACTAGAGACTTTATGGTAGACACATCCAGAGTCTTTTTGCAGATCTTGGCATACATATGCCAAGACCTAGTGCATCCAGATATTGATTTAACTCCTAGATAAGAGCAAATCCACTAGATTTGACCTCTACTAGTCTGATCCTCCAGAGTTCCACCAATTGAGCTCCAATTTATTCTTTAATTTTGATTTCTAAAACCTCAGAGTGGTTACAATAGGTGACCTTGAACTTGGGATGTTTGAATTCGAGTTGGACCTCCTAAAGCTTAACCTTTATCAGTAAGCATTAATACATACAAATACTAGGTAGAGAGGGCAGGAGCGAGAGTAGGAGTAAAGGGTTTTGGAGGAACTTGAACATGAGGCATAGAAAACATATTTTAGGTAGTACCTAAAAATGAATTTAAATAATTAAAATTCTTGAGAGTAATATTTAAGTATTAAGGCCAGGTTTTCCAATGACAAAATTGAGAGATTGTTAGGGCAACCAGGATCCAATATACAGGAACTATTCTAAGTATGGTAATCCCACTTGGAATTGGAATCTCTGGTCTCCAACACCCCCCTCTGGCCCCCTTACAGGGCCTGCATATCATCATATATATCTATCTTAGTTGCGTCCTGTGACTATAATGCTACAAAATTGAAGGTACCAGAATAACACCGTATATGTCACTACTGTCCAACCAACTGGATTCTGTTCACAGGATATATGAGAAGAGACCCTCAGCTAGGTCTGAGAAGTAGCATGGAGTAGGCCTGTCAACTACTCAGAAACTTACAAGGTATTAAAGATGAAATATCTTTATTATGGGCAGTACGTAACAGGACATTTCTGCACAAAAATGTAATATTAAATGTTAGAGGATCTCTACGAAGTTTTAACATATTCTTATCCACCTTACCATAATTAGAAGTGTCTAGGACTCCGATGGACACTACTAAAGAAGCCAATAAACTTCGTGGAGTGTTATAATTAGGTCCTGGAATGTGTCGTAGTTGCGGTAATGATTCATAATACTGAATAACAACTAAAACTCTGTTACTTAGGATAACTAGGAGTTGTCAACCAAGAGATTATCTGCGAATCTGGTTAAAAATGCTCCCTGCAAATTAGTAGGAAATTATCCATAGGGTATTTATCCGTTGAATCAGGAGTTATAGAGGTTTACAGTTGGTAACCAAGAAAGGTTACATCTATGACTGCTCATGCAGACATGACCTGCAGATGAAACTGATCATTTTGTCAATAAGGGAGGCAGTTGGGGCCAATACAGTTGGATTTGAGAACCAGGCTAATCATGCCACGGCTGTGGCTTTGCAGCCACAACTCCCCGGCTGCTTGCTTGCTCACAACCTGGGGCACTCTTCCAGAGTGCCTAGCAGCTCAACATGACTTTACAGCTCAACACAACTTGTAGCTCAACACAAATCTTTGTGGCTCAACAGAACTTTTTTGTGGCTAAACAGAACTTTTTTGTGGTTTAAAATTTGTTTGTGGCTCAAGGTGAATGACAGTATAAAGAAACTTTATTAGTCAACATAACTTTCACATAGTATCAATAGGTAGCATTATACTAGTAGATTATCATTTGTTTAGAGCTTAACATATTATTGCAGTTCAAGCTATTGAGGTAGCACAGTGCAATATTATAGCTGAATATGACTTTGAAGTATAATGGAGCTCTATTGCTCAATGGGATCTTATATTCTTATTGATCTTTATCATTGAACTTCAATGAATCTCCATTTCTTACAATTCTATTTAAAACCCATTGTATACAGTATTCTATTTTATATATAGATGTATTAAAGTTAAAGCTTGACTGCTACAATTGTCCAGTACTTATCAATTTGATTTTCAAACAATCTTCCAAATATATTCTTTCTACAATTACTGCCAATCTGTTCAAAGTCACCTAGAGCCTATCCTCTCGATACCAATTTCCCCGATATAATCACCATCATGGCACCACTACCAGCTACTATTATGCTTCCTAGTTAATGGGTGGAGCCTTACGAAGATAACGAGATCCGAATTCGAGCTGCAATTGTCTCTCTTGAAGGTATAGAGCATGAGAAACCGAATCTTGCAGCACTTGCCTGCCAGTATGAAATTCCAGAATCCAGACTTCGAGCCTGGTGGCATGGAGTTCCATCAAAACAGGATAGAGAAGCAACCAACAGG